TTCCTTTTCCCCTGCTGGCGAAGCGGCTCCCCGCTGGGCGGCTGACTGCAGGATCCGCAGTTCTACCACCAGCCGCCCGTGGGAGAAAGCCGGGGCCTTCTGCTCTTGTAAAGAGTTCCAGTCTCAGAAACCCACAGGGCAGTGCCGCCCTGTCCAATAGGGTCACTGAGAGTGGCCATCGGCTCGATGATAGTGAGTGGGTTTTCTCTGCTTGACCAAGCGTGATGTCCTTCTCCAGGGACTGGTCTCTCCTGGTGACATGTCCACAGAGGGGAGATGAAGGCTCACCATCCTCGCCTCTGCGGAGTCCTCTGGCTGAACTTCTTCTAAGACAGCTTCGCCCGTCCTCCTGGCAGCTCCCTGTCCTTCTGGGACGATCTGCCGCTGCCAGCCTTCCAGTGCCAGCACCTGGAGAAACATAGTCCAGTAACAAGGCCAGCTGGCGGGACGGGGGTCTCCTAGCCTCCGTCAGTGGACAGCCTGGGCCTCGTTGGCTGAGAAGACAAAGAAGGGAGAGCCCTCCTCCCAGGAGGCTTTGCTCTCCCCCGGGAGGTTCAGACGGCTCTGTCTTTGCAGAGGGTATGAGGTCTGGGGGGCGGAGGGGGGGGGGGGGGACCCGCAAGCTTCAGGCAACTATAATTGGCATTCCAGAGCGTTTTTAAAAAGACATAAAATGCAAATTACCTGGTTGCAAATCACACTTCTATTTATAAAGAGAGGTGACTTTGAGCAAGTGACTCTGCATGTTAGTTTGTGAACTGAGAACCCTCCCAACTCCACCCCGCTCCCTCTGCAGCAGAGGCCTGCCTCAGAGGCTGGAGGTGCTGAGCTTACAGGGGCTGGGGGCTGACCCCCGAGTCTGGGGGACAGGAGTCCAACGAGCCACCCCCCAGATACCTCTGTGTGGTAGTGCAGGCAAACAGCCACTGATGCCCTGTCTTCCAGGGGTCTCTGCCCAGCTCTGGGCCAGGTGCCCCTTCCCTTCAAATTGACGTCTTTGCTCTTGAACCCTGGAAGAGGTCATGTGCCACGGATAGAGTCACACCCAGGGAACCTCAGCATCGTGACGACCACCTGCATGGCAGGCCACGCCCACTGGCCTACCTGTCCCAGGTGGAAATCTGCCCCCCCTAAAATAAACATGGAAACCTATATCTAGAAGGAGGACCCTGTTTGGGGGTGGGCAGTCTTTTGCTACGTGGGTGAGGTGAGACGGGACAGGGCTGAGCCCTGAGAGCTCCCACTGAGTCATCTCTCAGAAGACCAGAGTCAGAGCTGAAGTGGCGGGGAGGGGGGAGGGGGGCACAAGCACACAGCAGAAAGACAGACCCCTTAAGAACAGAGCACCAAGCAGCTCCCAAGGTGCAACAAGGAGGGGCGTCCCCACCCTGGGGCCCACACCCCGATCTGGACTCGAGTCCCCCGCAAGGTGGGGCAGTTCTGTGGCTACAACCTGGCTGTTAGTCTGGCCGAGAAGCTCGAGGGAAGCCGCCTGCAGCTGACCGCAGCCGCGGGAGACTGTGTGTATTCC